GACACATGGGCCATGGTCCACCCAGGCCTAACTGCCTAACCTCCCTGATGCGTCTTGTCCAGTCCGGGCTGTCTCCTCACACTGGTCAGCCTGCCTACACACCTGTAGTCTGTCCTTGTTCGCTGGCCAAACCTGCAGGAAGAGTGGGCATGGGGCTGGCCCAGCTTTGCCAGGGGTGGCCAGGTCAGGGGTTCCTCCTTCTCCCGTTATGACCACAGATTACATCCCTCCCTGCCCCCCGCCTCTCCCTTACGTGGTAAAGACGCTGCTGCCCCCAGGAGAGTGGACACTGGGCCGCCCCCACCACCACAACTCTGTCCCACCAGGCAGATTGGACCACAGCTGGGCTCTGAAGCCTCTCTAATCCTGAGCCTGCACAATGCATGGCCTGGGGGCCCCATGCCCGCCAGGGGCCTCACAGGGCTAAGGCTCACCTGGGACACAGGGGCCCTTGCAGACACATTTGCTATGTGCTCAGGGTCTAAGAGCCCACAGGGAACCCAGCTGGTGGGCTCTGCTCCAACTCACCAGTGCGGCTTGTCTGGTGGCACGGTTCCACTTCACCCGTCTTCCAGGAGACTCGGGGTGAAATCCTGTCTGTCGCAGGGACCAGCTTCAGCCCAGGTTTCCTGGAAGACTGTACCCCTCCACCAGCTGACTGTATCGGCCACTCCGGCTGACTGAATCCCTAGGGGCTGGCAGCGCAGACAGACGTGCGGGTGAAGCAACAGAGCCTAGCGCTCACCACCTTTATTAAGAACTGCCCTAACCCTCTTACAGAGAAGGTGGCTGGTGCCAAGGGAGTGTGGGCCACCTCAAGTGCAGGCTGGACTTGAAGCCAGAAAGCCTCAACCTGGTCCATTTCAAAGGCGCACTTGGGGTCCCGAGTGAGAAACTGTCTCTGTGTGGCTGGGGGACATCCCAGGACCCAGCACTCCTGCAGCCTGAGAAAAGGGGTCCAGGATGCCTTTCACACCAGGGTGCTGGAAGTGCAAACTTAAGGGCAATAGGCGACAAAAGGAGGGGGGTGTGGGGACTTCAGTCCCTGGGCGGGGCTGAGACTCCAGAGCCCGCCCCCAAGGCACGTGTGTGGGGTGAGGCCTGCGGGCCCTGTCTCCTTCCACCTCTAGTCTCCCTTCCTCCCTTTCGACCATTCTGGGGCCACGTGCTGTGTGATCTTTGCATTCTTCTAGTGTGAGCATGGCCCTTTACAGTTTGCAAAGGTCTTTACACGCCCATTTTCCCTCTGGATTCTGCTGGCAGACTGGGAGGCAGGCGACACAGGGCTGGTCTCAGCTAAGGCTTGGGAAGTGAGGCACTGTTGCAAGTAGGCTGCACTGGGGGCTGGGGGGCTGGGTACTCACTGGGGCGAACTGGGTGCAGGGCTTGGGGTCCCCCCATCCACAGCAGCCTGGACTCTGCCGTCAGCTCCTTAGCCAGTTGGTGTCCTTGTCCAGTGTAGAAAAGCGGATCAGCTTCAGGCTGGGAGGCTGGGGCTTCCTGTCATCCCAGAGGTACTCGGGGGACAGCACTTTGGAGGGCTTGTGTGAGATGAAGCGACGGTTCAGGTGGCTCTCCTCCTGCCAGGCCGCCATGATGCCATTGGCCTTGTCCGCCAGGATGCCCATGTGGCAGCCCCTGGTAAACTCGTACACCCTGGCCACCCGCCCCCCAAAGACCGCCCCACCATAATAGAAGTCTCCCTCGCCGTCAGCCACAAAGGCAGTGGACACATGCCTGCGCTCGTAGGGGAACTGCTGGCGGGGTACAGCGAAGTAGCCTGGGTGAATGGCAGCCACCAGGTCCCCTAAGGTCTCCGGGCCCCATGGGTTCCGGAATACCATGTCCACATCGACGCAGAACAGGTAGTCCACCTCCCGGTGCGCACTCTCTGCAATGTGCTGGCTGATGGTCTCCATCCGGCGTGTGGAGATCTCCTCCCAGTGGGAGTACCTCTTGATGGGGACGATGCTGAGGAGGCGGCCGGGGCCCAGCGGGACCCGAGGAAGGACCGTGGGGTCATCGGTGAAGACATAGTAGCGCACTCGGTAACCCTGCATGAAGAAGCGTTCGGCCGACTCCAGGAAGCGCTGGACGAATTGGGTGTACCTGGTGGACATGACTTCATCATCCACCACCACTGCCACAAGGCTGCCGCCTGGGTCCCCACTATGTGCCAGCACCACGTGGGGCCAGGGCCTAGCTTCCCGCCTCGAGAAGTCGCTCAGGTCTGACCCTCGTGGTCTTCGTCTGCCAGATTCCTCCAATCATAGCACCAACCTCCTAAGATCATCCTAATAATGATACTTTATGACTCTCATAGTCATGGACAGAACTCACTTTGACTGAGTCTTACTAAGTGACAGGCAGTGTTCTAAGAGATTCTTACTTCCTTCTGGCCTCATAAACTCCCAAGAAGGCCAGCACCACAATCCCCACTTTACAGGCACAGACACTGAGGCTCAGAGAGAGGAAAGTAACCAAGCAGCAGGTGAGTGGTGTGGGGTGCTGGGTGCCGGGACCACGTTTCCCGGCCGCAGCTGATTGGGTGGGAGGTGCTCTGACCCCAAGCGGGCAGCACTTTAGGCGTTGGGGCCCCATCAGGGTCGCTCTCTCAGGAGCCCCAGGAAGGGACCCAGAGGGAAGCTGCCAGGTAATGGCTCCTAAAAGAAAAGCAGTGGGGGGGAGGGGAGGGAGGGGAGGGGAAAGTGTGGGTGGTGGTCCCGAGAGTAGGCAGGCGTTGGGGTGAAGAGAAGGTCCTGGGGCAGGTCCAGCTTTGCCTAGGTCTCTTGACCTGCCTGTGGCCTGACTACAGACCCCTGTTTATGTGACGTGGTCTGGGGGGTTTCTATTCCTTCACACCTGCCTGGACCGTTCAGGGGAAGCAGGGTGGGTGGGCGAGAGGGCAAGGATGTCTCCTGACAAAGGCTCCTGCTGCTCCCTCACCTAGGCTGCCTCCCCCGGCCCCATTCTGTGCCAGGGCCAGACTGTCTTCCTCCAGGAAGCCCTGCTCCTACCATCACAGTCTGCACCGTCCCACCTGCACCTGGTTCAGAGCCTCCCTGGTGCCCGGGCCAGGGTCCTGTCTCTCCCAGGACTATCAGTCCCTGGGGCTCAGAAACCACCCTCTCCCCGCAGCCCAGCCCACCACTCACTTCCCCACCGCAAACACTGTGAGCCCGATGGTCAGGTTCAGCGGCTGGTAGATGTGATGCAGAAGCTCAGGGTCGAAGGTTCCCTCAGAGACGATGGGCGCCAACCAGGGTGTGAGTGTCAGTAGCCTGGTGTGCCTGGCAGCAGAGGAGGCCGTGGGGGCTGAGACCCTCCCCTCATGAAAGCCTCAGTCTCCTCTTGGCCCTGCCTCCCCTGCTGTGTGACCCTGGGCAGCTTCCTCCCTGTCTCTGGGCCACAGTCTCCTCATAGGGAAAGTGGGGATCATAATAGCTACTCCCCAGCACAGTCAAGAGGAGAGAGTTAACACACGCCAAGTGCCGGGGAGGGGGGTGTCAGGCATTTCAGGAGCCTGCTAAGTGCCTCAGAGATGGAGGTCATTAACATCATCATTACCAACAGATCACGTGCTACGAAACAGCAGGCCCTGTGCTCTGCGTTTCACAAACACCATCTCATCTGGTCCTACAACATCCTAAGAGGGGGGTATTATTATTATCCACCTGTGCAGAAAAAGCTCAGAGCAGTTGGGGAACCTGCCCAAGGTCACACAGCAAGTGACAGAGCTGGACTGGGGCCCAGGTCCCAGACTACCAGAATCCTAAGGCCACATGACACCTCCACTACCCCAACTTATAAACCAGAACTCTGTCCCCGCCACCTCCACCCCAGGTCTCTCCCTCTGCACCCAGGCGCTGCTCCACACCTACTTTTGCTCCAGCAGCTTGGGCTGAGGGTACTGTGACCTGCAACCAAGAAGGGCCAGTGGTGAGCGGAGGCAGCCCCCACCCCCGGGGCCACCCAGGGGGAATGACAGTCAGCTTACTGTGCCACGGGCTGGAACGGCTCCTCACCCTTGTACTGCAGCTTCATGTTGCTGGTGGGAGAGGTGAGGCAGAGCCATTAGTGCCAGGGTCGGGGGCAGAGATAGGAAGCAGGGAAGGATGAAGCTGAGCTGAAGCCCCCCGGGGCAGGCACCCTTTCCCGCCGCCCCAGGCTCCATGCAGATGCCCTTCCCCACTGCTCGGCCTGCTCCGCGGGGCCTGGGCTCCTACAGAAGCCGGCTGTCCAGGGGCACTGTATGATTTGAGCCTCGTGCCACTTGTCAAGAAGTGGTGCTCTTTCAGACTCATTGCTCTGTAGGATGTGGCACTGGGCAGGAGGTTTGAGAGGCTGTAAGGTCCCCGTGAGCCCACTTTCTAGCCTGGGACCCTTGGGCGAGTTAATTAGCCTGAGTCCACAGCGATGGGCAGTTGTAGCGTCCACTTACACAAGCACCAGCTGAGGCGCTACCGTGAAGGTGCGTGCATGTTTGGTAGATGTGAATAACATCTACACCGGCTGAACCTAAAGATCATCTTCTTCAGTCTGGGGGGCGCCTAACACACTCAGTTGAAAGACCTTAAGAATAGAACTGAGGTTTCCCTGAAGAAGAAGAAATTCTGTTGATGGACAGCCGTGTCAGCTCCTGCCCAGAGTTCCAGCTCGTCTTCCCGACGGCCTGCTCTGTGGATTTCAGACTGGCTTAGCCACCCCCACAGTCACGGGAGACACTTTCTTTCAGTCAATCAATTGATCGATCTGTCGGTGTCCTTCCCTCCTCTTGGTTCTGCTTCTTTAGTGGATCCCTGACTGATACACCCACTTTTCCTCATCTGTAAAAGGAGGAAGCATCCTTAACCCTCAGGGCTGCCATGAAAATTAAAGGAGCCATGGAAGTCAGGGGCTGTCAGCCCATGCTCAGCACGGAACAAATGGTCAGAAAGACCAGTACCCTGGCTTCTTCTTGTCAGGCAGTCTGTGTGGTCAGCCTCCACCAGCTTCAGTCCAGGCCTACCTGGGTGAACTAGAAGAGGGGTGCCCAAGGAAGGAGGTGGCCGGTGGCAGGCTCAGACACAGGAGGCTACAGGTCATGCAACTCCGGGTTCTGCCACTAGGTGGCTGGAGAGACCTGGGGCCAGACATCTCAATCCTCCGGGTTTAGTTCCCTCACCCTTAAAATAGGGACAATACATTCATTCTCCAAGCAGAAGTGAGGCCTTCAGAAGGGAAAGGCTGGCCCAAGGCTGCCCAGAAAGCAGGTCAGAGCCAGCTCCAGCAGAGGCCCGAGGTCGGCCATAAGGCTCAGACCACCTGAGGATGCGGTGCCCGTCTGCTTGGGTACCTTCAATATGTCACATAGGATGGGATGCCCTAGGCCTCTTAGAGCTTTCCTACTTTTTCCAGTCTATGCTGTGTGTGTGTGTGTGCACGCACACATGTGTGCATGCGTGTATGTGTATGGTAAGATACACATTACAAGGATTTAACATTTTAACCATTTTAACAGTTCAGGGCATTAGGTACATTCACATTGTTGTGCTACCATCACCACCATCCATCTCCAACTCTTTCATCATCCCAACCTGAAACTCTGTCCCCATTAAACACTCACTCCCCATCCCCTCTCCCTGAGCTCCTGGTCACCATTATTCCTACTTCTGTCTCTATAAATTTGACTATTCTAGAGTGCTCATATAAATGATACCCTGTAATATTTGTCCTTCTGTCATCAGTCTCTACTCTTGAAGCAACAATGTTTTTAAAGTCAATCCATCAAATTGGCCTTCTGATCTAGTTTCACAAAGACAAGCACATTTCAAGTGCCTGCTCAGAAACTGATGGGACTGAGAAGATGGCCAGTAGTGAGAAGAGGGGAAGGGCCCCTGTTCCCCACTTCCCTGGCCTTCAGCGCCTCCCCTGTCCCCATCAGCTTCAACACACCCTACTCCGGCCACATTAAAGAGTTGAACATAAGAATACCAAGGCCACGGATGAGCCATAGCCAAAAAGAGGAACTTCACATTTCCAAACCTCTGAAGGTAATAAAACCAAAAGTAAAGGAGAGATCCAAATGAACAGAGGGGCAGCTGTGACCATTTGAAACAGACAAAAAAATCTCCAACTTCAGTCTATTTAAAAAAATTACTCAGGAGAACCAAAAGACAGACAAACTGGAAAGAAAAAAAATGCAGCAATTACTTGCGACCAAGGTGACAGAAACCCCAAAAACAGGCCAAAGAAGGGAGGTGGCTGAGCAGGCGAGTCACAGAAGAGAAAATTCAGTTAAGGGAAAGCATTGGGGAGATGAGGACCTGGTAGGAATCCAAGAAGTGAAATTTAAAAATTTAAATTAAAAAAAATAAAAAATTAAATCAGATGGCATTTCCCGTCTCCATCTCTGGAATCAGCAAGATGGTTTGGTTTTTGTTTGTTGTGACGCCTGATACTTCCAGCACCTGCCCAGATGCAGGCAGCTGCTGGGGGTGGGAGTGGTGTTGTGTGAGTAGGAGTGGGAGTGTGTGACCGAGATGGTCCCTCTGGGGACAACCTGACCAGATGGATGAAGAACCCAGCCATGTCCTCTGGCTCAGGAAGGAAATGTACCAAACAAAAGGATCTTCAATATGGAAACCGCTTTATAATCAGAGCTTTACAAACTAATTTAGAATGCTAGGAGACTGGAAACAACCCAAATGCCCCAAAGCTGTTGGTGGAAAAAGGAGAGGGGTTCAAGAATCAGAGCCCAGCCCCTGGGTTGAATAAAATGATGGTGACCAAACGCTGGCAAACAAAGCCAGTTCTGGGAAAGCAGGATAAAAATTGCAAAAACAGCATGGTCGCAACTATTTTCAGTATCAAGTAGCCTTTCTGCTTCTATTCAAATCTATTCAAATTAGAAAGCGGAGCAATCAACAAGTTGATGATGAACTTTGGAATCAGAGTATGATCAGACCAGGAGGACACAAGAGGGTTTTTTTTTTTCTGTCTTTTCTGTTTTCCAGCTTCTTAATTTCCATATTCTATGTTTATAAGAGTAAAACACACCTTGTTGTTAATTAGTAGTCTCTGATTCAGATTTTAAACGTTCCTTTTGCTTTCACAAAAAACAAAAGACGATGGGGCCAAACGCACCCTTGAGACTGTCCCAAACCATCTTCTCCCCTCTTAACTGTCAAAAAAATCAGGTTTGTGGAGAAGACGGGTCCCATATCCATTTGTTCCATGAATCCACATAGAAGACAAAATTGAGCAAAAAGGTCAAGTCCTAAAAGCATCGTTTACTGAGTACTTCCAATGGGTCGGTCAGGTGCAATACCGGATTTGTACAGGCATCATTGCAGCCCATGCTCCAAGTGGCCCGGGAAAGGCACCTCTATCATCCCATTTTACAGATACAGCAAGTGAGGCTCAGAGCTATGCAACAAGCTCCAGGTCACACCATGGAGGGGGTCCTGCAGGGACACCCAAGGATTGAAACAAGAGAATTTCACTCCACATTTAGGGCAGTTCACAAATTACCTAAATATTTATCACACTGATCAGAATCATGAGCTTACGACCTAAGAACCTGCAAAGTGACCTTAAAAACCCTCCCAACTCCCCCACTCTGGGTAGCTCACAGCGCCCCCAATCTTCCTACCCAGATACTTACAAGATCGATGGGCAGGGGAGATAATAGGGGACGTAGGAGACTGGCAGCGAGCTCTCCACATACACCCTGGGAAGGAAAAACACCTGTTTGACTCCACTCTGCCCCTGAGGCTGAAAACTCACTTGTTTGTGGGAGTGAAGGCTCCCAGGGCTGCACCTGGGGATCCCCCATCACTCCTTGGGTCTGGCTGACCTCAGAGGACAAAGCCTCCTGGCCTTCTGCAGTGCTGTCATTATGCCCCCATGCAGCCATTCATTCCTGGGGCAGGAATGTTCTGGATGCCACGCCCTGCACATAAGGGGCTGAAGGTGAGGGGCAGCCCCGGGAGCTTTGCAGAAGGAACACCTGGGGCGAATTTTGGGGCACAAACAGGAGTTCCTGATTAACACAGCGAGAAGAATAGTCCAGGAAAAGGAAAGAACAAGTGCAAAGGCTAGGAGGCCAGTACAAGGCAACCCCCCCCCGGCTCTACCCCCATAGGCCAGACTAGTTCAGTCTTAACCGGGGCTGGGGCTGGGGGACAGGTGTGCCAGGAGAGGTGGGTGGGACCTGGGAATCCTGTGAAGGGGTCAAGGTTTGCGGGGTTGAGATGCTGACAGAGGGAGTGTCTGAGGTGGGGAGGGAGGGCTCCATGGGGCATGCTCACCACAGACAGTAGAGGGCCATGCCCACCAGCAGGCAGAATCCCAGGCCCAGGGCTAGCCTGGGGCAATGCATCTTGGGGTGCAGCATCTCAGCCTGGGCACCTGCAGAGACTGGGTGTGCCTTGGTGAATCAGCCCACCTCTCTCAGGGCTCTCAGGCTCTGGGCCTGTGTCTCCAGGGTCCGGAAACACCTGCAAAGGAATGTTCCTTATCCAGGGAACAGTGGCCCCGTCCTTGCTGCCTTGCCCTCCCCTGGGTAGCCCCACCAGGGGAATGTGGATTCCGGGTATCTCCTCGTCCTGCTGGACGCCCCGCCCCCGGCCCAGATCTGGCAGTTCCGGTAAGTTGACCCGGGGACAGAGGCTCAGCGCTCAGCCGAAGCCTGCAGCTGTGCCTTGGGAGAGGCACTCGGGTCCGGACGATCGGCCCCCGGCCTCGGCTCCCCCAACCTCCTTACCCCGCGAGCAAAGGGTGGCCATCCTAGGGACTAGGGCAACAGTGCTGGGGCCGGGCTTGGAGGATTCCCGGGGGGGAACAGGACATCAGAAAGCAAGCCCAGAGCCGGGACAGCGGGGACACACCAGGCCTGAGGACGGGAGCGCTGCGCAGAGAGGGGCGGCCGCGATACCCCTAGGAGGGATGGGGGGTCGGGCAGGGGTGGCAGCAGTGCATTCCTCCGGGAGGCGGGGCCTGCGCTTTCCAGGGGACCGCCGGAAAGCACCTCAGCTCTCACAGCTCGGCGGTAACTCGGGGCAAGTCACTCTCCTTCCCGCTCCGCCACAGCCTCAGTGTCCTCCTCAGTTATAGGGGTCTTGGTGGTGGAGGGGAACAAGACGCACTGCCCCTGATGGGCGGTAAGGGCTGTGAAGCCGCTTGGTCCCGCCCGGGTCACAGTGAGCCTGGGACCCCCGGCAGCCCTGCGGGTATCCGCCCGGGATCACATAAAGCTCCCCGGACCGGAGTTTTGGGGCTTTGGCCCCTGCTCACTCAAGTAGCCTCTAGCAAGCCCGTCCCTCTCCTCCGTCTGCGGACCCGTTTCCCTACCGGGCTTGGGGCGCAGCGTCCGCCCCTTAAAGCCCCGCCTCGGGCGTCGGCTCCGCTAGATCCTGCCTCCTGCCCGGCCCAGGCCCCCGGGGCCGCTCTGCCGACGCAGAGCCAGGCCCGAGCTCCGTCCGCCCCAGCCGGGGATCTGCATCCAGAACGCACACCTGGACTTCCGCCGACCACTGCGGGCCCGGGACTCGCGTTGCTCGTTGCTCCTCCTCCGGCCGGGCGCGGGGCGAGGACAAGGTGCGGCGGAGGGAGCGCGACTGTCCCTGCGGGCTGCAGATTCACCCCTCTGAGGCCAGACCAGCCTTAGGACGGATCCTAACGGCGCACCTCGGCCGGGAAATCAGGGATTGCCGGGGTTCCGGCGAAATCGGGCGGCCGCGCCGCACTTCCAGTAGCCCACTGGGTAGGGCCTGACTCAGGGCCGGTCGGGGGCGGAGCCTGGTGGGATTCTGGGGAGGGAAAAGGAGCCTTGCGCCCCGCCCATTGGCCGCAGCCCCACCGACCAGCCTGTGCGCCACGCCCACTCACCGCTGCCCCGCCTATCTGCCCGCACGCCCCACCTACCAGCTGCCGCCCCGGTCCCCCGGGTCCCAACGCGCAGGGAGTCCTCTGGGCTCTATCCTGCGTCTAGGAGGCGGTCTCCGAAGCAGCGGGCCCGGCTTCCGGGCGAGAAGTGCGGGTCCGGCCACTGCGGATGGGGATGTGGGCCTGAGAAATAAGAGAAAGGGTTTGGGGGAAAAAACTATTGTTTTTAGAAGAGTTGGCCGTACTTTCCAACCATGGCCTGTAGGGGTAGTATTGACCCTGGCTCACCCCAGGGATTCCAGGAGCCCCAGGGAGACCCTCTTACACGTCTCCAAGCATAGACCAAGCGCAGGGCTTGGAGGCCTTGGAGGTAGAGGCCTCTGCTTAGGCGTGGTGGGGGGGCATTCAGAGGGGCAAAAAGAAGGTACCCTGATAGTAACTAAGGGGCCAAGCAACAAGGGCTGGGGAGGAACTTGGTACAGACCATATGGGACTTTTATCAGGAGGTAATCCCATTGGAAGTCTGGGAATCGGTGGACAGAGAAACAGTATGGAAGACAGAACAACCATCAAGGTTCAGAGAGGTTATAGGTTTGCTTGAGGTCACATTGATGCAGCTTGAAGTTACAAACCCAGATCTTCCTGGCGCCTGGGCACAGCCTCCCAGGTCCTTTGTGGACGTCATTGCCCGTGTCCTTGGGATTTCCCTTGAGGACCCTAAGTTCCTGGCTTGTTTCCCCAGAGTCTGCAGGGGCCTGGCACAGGCCGGGGGAGCTGGTGACTGTTGGCTGAAAGGTCATGACTATTTTTAGATGCAAGCACTAGTTTCCCAGGATCTAGTCTGGGACCAGCTGATTGGTTTTTCTCACTCAGTTTGTGTTTTTGCGAAGTTCTCTGGTGTACCTTCCGGATACTGGTCCCATCCTGACAATAAAGAGTTGGGCGGGATGGGGCAGACCCAGCCCTGTGGCCCTGGCAGACATGCCAGCATTCTGCCAACGGGCAGCAGCTGTCCCCTGACCCAGCCGACAATCTCTGTTTTCCCCATGCCTCCTACCCTCCAGGAGAGAGGACAAAGTCAGCCTCAGGGCAGCCTCGGGGTAAAAGGGTGAGGGAAGATAAAAGGTTCCTGAACTCTCCTCCTGGAGAGTGACTCGGCAATGGGACCCGGAGACCCTTCCCTTTGGTTCAGTTTATCTACTTCTAGAAACCAGAGGAAACGACTAGAGACATGTATCAGCTGCTCATGTGCATGGATGGCCATCTCTGCCTGTCTCTGAGAGCCCTGCAGAGGACACCCCCAGGGCCGGGCCCGGGGGTCTCAGGCAGAGGTCCCCACTGCCCTTACCACTGCTTAGTGGGCCATGACCAAGCGTGTGGGGTAGCTGGGACTTTCAAGTAAAACAGAAAACATGAGACAGCAACCGTCCCAGGAAGAGCCAGCGTTTCACGGACTCTGTGTGCACGTGTGTGCACGTGCAGGTCCTGCGTCAGATGTGACGTGTGTTCCAGGTGGGGACAGGCCCAGGGGACAGGCCACAGTGTGTCTGGTGTGCGGGGGAGGGAGCCGAGGTATTCCAGGCCCCAGGGCCTCTGACGTCCCTGCTCAGGGCTCCATTTTCCAGGAAGAGGCCGAACCAGCCAAGCCTTGTGCCTTTGGGCTGGAGGGACACGGCTTTAACCCCAGTGCTGCTCCTCACAGGCCAGGAGGGATCTTGGCACCTCAGTTTCCCACTTAGAATATAGGGGAACCATTGTCCCTACCTCAGAGGTTCTTTTGTTTCTTTCATTCTTTTTTAATGAAATATAGTCAGTTTACAATGTTGTGTCAATTTCTGGTGTAGGGCATAATGTTTCAGTCATATATACATATATACATACATTCATTTTCATATTCTTTTTCATTAGAGTTTACTACAAGATATTGAATACAGTTTCCTGTGTTGTTTATCTATTTTATATATAGTAGTTAGTAGCTGCAAATCTTAAACTCCCAATTTATCCCTTCCCACCCCCTTTCTCCCCTGGTAACCATAAGTTTGTTTTCTATGTGTGTGACTCTGTTTCTGTTTTGTAAATAAGTTCATTGTCTTTTTTTTTTTTTAGATTCCATATACGAGTAATATCATATGGCATTTTTCTTTCTCTTTCTGGCTTACTTCACTTAGAATGACAGTCTCCAGGTCCATCCATATTGCTGCAAATGGCATTATTTTATTCTTTTTTATGGCTCAGTAGTATTCCATTGTATAAATGTACCACAACTTCTTTATTCCATTATCTGTCGATGGCCATTTAGGTTGTTTCCATGCCTTGGCTGTTGTAAATAGTGCAGCTGTGAACATGGGGTGCATGTACCTTTCCGAATTGAAGTTTTCTCTGGATATATGCCCAGGAGTGGGATTGCTGGATCATATGGTAAGTCTATTTTTAGTTTCTTTAGGACTCTCCATGCTGTTTTCCACAGTGGTGACACCAAACTGCATTCCCACCAGCAGTGTAGGAGGGTTCCTTTTTCTCCACACCCTCCCCAGCATTTATTGTTTGAGGCACCTTCTTTTTAATCAGAACTTCATTTCCCCCTTGCATTTGCTGACAGGGAGCACAAGTGATCCCAGAAGCCTAGAGGCTCTCCTGCACTAGATGCTCCCCTTTCTCACTGCCAGCTCATCCATCAGCTCCTCACCCTCTCCTTCTCCCCAAGCCCCTCCCATCTCCCCTCTTCTTGGATGACCTGGCTGTGGACCAGTTCCCCTGGGGCAGAAAATCCAACCTGGCCAATCTCAGAGAGCCTGCCTCTCTCTTCCAACACGTGGTTCACTGGGACTCTTGAACCTGAGGAAAAGAGGATTCGCCTACCTGGTAACAAGGAGTTTGACCCTGTTAGCAGTACCCCCGCCTTTCTAGGAGCACTGTTATGCCTGACAGCCTCCTGGGGAACCAAAGTGCTGGGCAGGGGTCAGGTGGAGGGTACCCCATCCATAGCTTTCCTCATCCTCTGAACTGGCCTCACTTCCATTCCCTTCCCACCAGCAATGAGTCTGTCCTCTGTGTTGCCCCTGGGGCCCGATCTGCTGAACCAATTGCACTAAACCTTTTATAGGACACTGGTGTGCCAGGCATTCTATTAAGTGCTTTCTCTGTACTAACTCATTAATCTTCACCCGATCCCTACCTTTAAAAGGTAATCAAAGCCCAGAGAAGAGAAGTGATTTGCACAAAGCAAGCAGCAGAGCCAGGATTTGGACCTGAATGATCTGGTGCAGAGGCGAACCTCTTAACCGCCCCACTGTGATCCAGCACTTGCTGGAGCCCAAAACTCATTCTTGCCCAATATCATGGTTCCTAAAAGAGCTGTGTTTAGGTTTTTCTGCCCTCCTCAAGCCCCCAGCTCTTTGCCCCAGCGCTCTGAGCTGTGCCCTGGAGTGCAGCTTCTGTTTTGGTGCATTGAGAAGTAAGAAGGGGCTGAGATTTGACCCACTTGCAAACTAACTGAGCCTGTCACCATTTCCTAGATGCCTTAGACTACACGGATTCCCGGGTCAGAGACAAAGGACTTTACACCTCTCCCCATGGCAGAGAGCCAAGCTTCATGTTCCCAGGGGTCCCTGTGTTCTCCCAGTCCTATTCTGGTGGTGGGATGCTAAAAGCTTCCCAGGAAATTTGTCCTCTTCCAGCTGTCGTGGAACTCCAGGTGCCCTGCTTAGACTTCTTGTCTGACTCATCATCTCCTGAGCACAAAATCTGCTTGGAGGCACGTGTGCTGGGCGGGAAGACCTCATCTGTCAGCTCGTCAAACGATGTGTTCATTGCTATGCCACCAGCATTTAGAGCTCTGCCTGCATGGAGCACACCCTCAAGAAATGTGGGAAGTTGCAAAAAAAAAAAATGTGGGAAGACGGAGAGTGGGTACAGTTCCGTGGTAGAGCGCAGACTTGCATGCATGAGGTCCTGGGTTCACTCTCTAGTCCTTCCATTAAAATAAAATAATAAATAAACCTAGTGACCTATCCCCAAGGGAAAAAAAAGAAAAGAAATGTGGGAAGAAGGAATGAAGGAGTCCAAGCAGCACAGAACCGCCTTCACCTCGTCTGTCCCCTCCCCATGCTGCGAGGCTGGTCTCAGTGTCAGGAGACTGGCCGCCCCTGCCCGTGGCAGAGCTGCCTCCAACCTCTTTCTTCTTCTCTCTTGTCACATCCCAGGGTCCACTGGGACCCCCAGCAGGACATTTAGTGTGTGAGTCTGTGTGTGAGTGTGTGCCCACGTGTCAATGCCCAGAGGAAAGGGTCCCGATGGGAGGGGGTGAGCAGGGACCCTCAGGATCTCAGGATCTTCCATTCCCAGTGCAAACCCTATGGGACGGTTGAACCCTGGTCTGGGAGGCTGGCACCCTCCCTTGTCCTCTGGACCGTGTCCACCTCCTGTGGCTGGGGCGACTCCCTGCCTCTCTCCTGGCCTCAGTTTCTTCATCGTCCCACGAGGGCTTGGTTAACGACCTGCTTAACAGGCTCAGCGTAGACGCTGCGCTGGCTCGCTCTCCTGGGAGGCCGGGAGGTGCGCTCCGGGCCCCGCCCCTCCACCCACCCCGTGACGGGAGGCGGCCAACCCCGCCAAGGGGGCGGGGCCTCCAGATCTCGCGTGGGAGCCTGCGCGGCCCCAGCAGTCTCACCGCCCGCACGCGCGGTGCCGACGGCTCCTCTCCCTACCGGTCCTGATGGTACTCCCAGCCCCCAGTAGCTGCTTGGGCCCCACCTCCCCTTGACCCCCAAGACCCCCCCCCCGCGCCGCAGCCTGGCTGGCCGCAGAGCGCTGGGCCGAGTAAGCATGGAGACCCGGGGATAAGATAGCCACGGAATAAACCCCCACCCCTATGTCCTCGGCCCCAGACTCATCCGAGGGTTCAGCTCCG